CACTGAGCGGGATGGTGGGGGGGGGGGGGGGTGGATTTAATGGATGGGAGAGCTCAAACAGAGCTTGCAAAACACAGAGGCATTTCCATGAGAATACAAAGAAGGAATGCTAACAAAAAAATAGTTTCTGTTTTCATATAGATCAACTACATATGCCTAGTTCATGTGCAATCTGTGTTCATTGGTGCATTATGTTTTGTTTTTTTTATATCTCTGCAAAGGTGGAAATAGGCTTTAAAGGATGTTCTACTCACGTCTTGCTGCCAGATCCACAGCATACCCTCAGAGGTGTAGTGGAGTCCATCCCTTGAAGGGGCAGAGTTTTTTTGGCTGCAATAATCTTGTCATTAGATCTTAAAATTAGGTGCATACATTCTTAGATAAATAACAAAACATGACATAATACACCATGCCATTTATTTTACAAACCTAAAGCCAAAATGGAGAAGCCATGTGTGAAATACTAAGTATGCCTTATAAATAGCTTTTTAGAATTACCTTTAGCAGCAATAACCGTAAGTAATTGTTTTGTGTATGACTATCAGTCTCAGATCATTGAGAGGAATTGTGTCTCACTCTTCTTTACAGCGTTGTGATTTGTGGGCATTTGTTTATGTACAGCTCTCTTAAGGTTCCACCACAACATTTAAATCAGATTGAGGTCTGGACTTTGAGTGGGCCATTACAGCACCTTGATTCATTAATTTTTCAGCCATTCTGTTGTAGGTTTCCTGGTGTGCTTGGAATCATTGTCCTGTTGCATGACCCGATTTCAGCTTCATATTTGACTCTAGCATGCCTTGGTATACTGAGGAGTTGTCACAGTTCAACTGCATACTTGCAGCTGAGCTTTTACTTGTAGTTCTACAAGTATATGCAGACCTCTTACCCCTAGTTCTGCAGGCATGCAGGGCTGTGCTGTTGCTTGTAGTTCTCCAGGCATGTACACTGTACCTGACTCGCCCTTGCACTAGTCTGGCAGCTTTAGGCGTCAGCCGATCTCTCTTGCTGGTTCTTATGCAGCTTCTCGCCCAATCAGTGCAGTCTGCTTGTTGCCAATCCTGTGGATCTCCCTCTTGCTGCCTCTATTTAAACCCAGGGCAGCATACGGCATGCTGCCCGAGCAACACTTTCCTAAGCTAGATGCCGAGCCCCGTTGTTTGCGGATGAACCTGAATTATTTGAAGTTTGCCCGTGTACCGACTTTTGACATGTCCCAGGAAATCCTTGTCCTCAATCTGCCCTGAACTTTGGCTTGTCCCTGGTGATCCCAGTCTTCTGTCTGTCCTTATTCTTTGGATATTCCCTGGAAATCCCGGTCTTCAGATTGTCCATGAAAGTCATGGTCCTCCGTCTGTCACTGACCTTTGTTTTGTCCCATATATGTGTGTCTGCTACCTTTCCAGAGTTCTGGCCTTGTTAACTATTCCCGGCTGTTAGGGGAGTTGGGTGAATCTTACGATTTTGACCAGGGGTCAGCACGCAGCGAAGCCCATCTCCACCATCGTGAGCTCTGGTGAACTCCGACTGGCCCTTAGATTCTACATCCTGGGGGACCCCATGCCACCTACCCAGCACTGCAGCACCCTGCCCAGTACTTTGACCTACCAGCCTATTCTGTCTTCTACCACCTCCTTCAGTTCCCCTGCTCTGTTCCCTACTTGTACTCCAGCTCTGGGGGGAGTCAGCCTACACTGCTTGCACCCTTTTCTCTGTGCCCCTGCCAGTGTAGTAGATAGGGTCCACAGACCTGTTTCCAGTTTATACCCGTGAACCCTGATCCATGACAGGAGTTCATGCAAGGTGCCCAGGTCCTGTGGCTGCAAAACAAGACCAAATTATCACCCCTCCACCACTGTGCTTGACATTTGGTATAATGGGCTTGTGCTGATATGCTGTTTTTGGCTTTCACAAAACGTGGCACTGTTCATCATGGCCAACCATCTCCATTTTGGTCTCATCTGTCCGACAGACATCATTCCAGAAGTCTTGTGGTTTGGTCAGATGCAACTTTTCAAACTAAACGTTGCTACCATGTTGTTTTTAGAAAGAAGAGGCTTTCTGCTTTGTAACCCTTCCAAACAAACCATACTTGTTTTAGTCTTTTCCTAATTGTACTGTCATGAACTTTAACATTTAACATGCTAAGGCCTGTAGAGTCGAAGATGTCACTCTTGGGTTTTTTTTGCAATTTCTCTGAGCATTGCACAAAATGATCTTGGAGTCAATTTGCTGGTAAATCCACTCCTGGAAAGATTGGCAACCGTGTATGGACTCGCTGAATTGTTTGAAAATGGCCTTATATCCATTTCCAGACTGATGGGCAGAAACAATTGTTTCTCTATGATCATTGTTGATGTCTTACCTCCTCGGCATTGTGTTAACACACATCTGAATGCTCCAGACCAGCAAGTTGCTAAAATGTCAGCTTTCATAGCGGTGGTCACACTTCCTGATGATCAAGGTCATTTGGTTAGCAGCACCTGTCTGCTACTTAGCCTCTTATTTTTTATGTAAGTAGTAAGGATGTTCTTTAGTTTTGTGTTTTTGTTTGTTTGTTTTTTTACACACATGGCTTCTCCGTTTTGGGTTTATGTGTGCAAAATAAATAATGACACAGTGTAATGTGTGGTGTTCATCTGAGGTTGTGTTTCCCTAATTATAAGAACTTTTTGTACCAAATGTGGGTTATACTGCAGGTATAGGCAGTATAGCCCACAATTCAATAATGTTAAATGTTGTGTTGATTCCACTAAAGCTTTGTTTCTCCTCCTATGTCCAGCTTTATATTCAACTTTCTGTTGCTGTTAGAGGCTTTGGTAATTGGCAGTTAAATAATGGGATTAGTTTGTTTTTTTTGCCAGGGGCATTTGATAAAACAAGTTGCTTTTAAGCTGGGTAAGCCATTGTAGTATGTTTTTAAATAATGTATTTTGCCTGCCTGAAGTATTAGCTTAAGCTGTTATAGCAGGGCTCAAAATTTCCACTCGCCTGCTTGCATTTGGCAAGTAGAAATGCAGTGCAGGCGAGTGGAAATTCAGTCAGGTTTGTGGTCAAGGGCCGCGAACCTGACTTGTTGGAAAATGTTGGGCTGTCTGTTCTTTCAGCCGCAGCTCTTCACTTAGCTCCGTCCAAAAATGAAGTGATTAGTAAGGTCTGCAGCAGACCTTACTAATCACCACTAGATCACCAGGGATCTGCCTGCCTCCTCCCTGCAGAAAGACAAGCAGGTGAGGGGGCTTCATTGTTTTATTTTATGTGTGGGCAGGCAGGGAACAGGGGGGATTCTTATTTTATATGTGGGCAGGCAGGGAACAGGGGGGATTCTTATTTCATGTGTGGGGGGCAGGGAACGGGGGGGATTATTATGTCATGTGTGTGGGGGGCAGGGAACAAGGGGG